TGGTTAAATTATAGCTAAGCTGAACTATTATTTAATTTTGACAAGAGCAAGAGGTTAAAATAATAATGTAAAATACTTGTTATTTATGACACTAACATACACCTATTTATGGTGTTGGCTGATGGTTAAGTTTGGCTTACCGTTACGCAAAATCCGCAGAAATACCCGCAGCTTGTGGAACGAGACAAGTTATGTGGTACCGTTTCAACTTAAACTACAATATTTAATATTGTTTCAAAAATTTTATCGACAGAACCCAAAGCCCACAAGGTATTTTGACGTTTAAAAAACGGTGTTGATATATTGTAAAAGGCGTAGAGTTCCCATGTTTGCCGCGCTCGCGCCCGCTTGTGATCCTTTTAAGTGGGACAAATATGGAACTGTCTCTGTTTGCTTTTGAACTCAACAGTTTGGTTTTTTGAAACCTTTTTAAAATGGTAAGTTTTTGTTTGATTTTCATTCGATTTTACCGCAATGTTACTTAATTTCAGTGATTCTCTTATTACCTATGACTGTTTCTTGAATCCCGTAAAATAAATTTCAATTAATTTAATGTTAAGTATAAGTAAAGGGTGGTTGTGGTTGATAATGCTTAGGACAAACAAAATGTTGTTGCTGATTTGGTTTTCTTTCCAGCATAGACAAATATTTTCTCGATAAATGTCAAAACATTACAACAACATGCTTTTTTAGCTTACTATAGCTAATTTATGTACAACTTTAGACGAGAAGAAAACTTAAAAACATTCATTTAACAAAAAAAATCTACCAAAACTGTAGCTCACGGCTACTCCTCATACCCCAACTCATTAAATTAGCTTTTGTCTCTCCCGACCTCTACATAAATATCAAAAAGTCATAAAAGTTGGGCAAACCGTAAACAAAAACGAAGCAATCCAAACTCAAAGTCCGGCGAATAAAAACTCTTAATTAAGTTATAATAACTGAATCGAGGGGCGTATTTCAGCGGGTAATTAGCGGCCATTTTGTTTTCATTTACTTTTTACTTTTTCGAGCTCATTTGAGAGGAAAAACGTTTGAAATGCGGCCGATGTGTGTCCGTCAGCCGCTGAACTTAGTTTGGTTTAGTCGGGACTAAAGGTAGACTGCTCTGAATAAAACTAGAGTTTAAAATTATTCGTACGTTGATATACGAGTATAAATGGGGGTTCAAAGCAAGTTGCTAACTCATCGTGCTCATTTTTTTACCAAAAGTCATAAAGCGCTTTTACATGTTCCACTATTAGGTACTTTAACCCTATCACTGCTTCGGAACAATAAATAGGGCAGTGCTGAAAAAAAGTACTGCAAGAAACTCAATCACCATTTTCAGAAATTCAGACTTATAAGCTTTTAAAACTTCACAAGATGCCCTTGGCTATCTTGATCACACGTAGGTATTCTGTACATAGAGGTGAAACCTCTATTGATAATCAGGAATTAAGTACAAATGCAAATGGACAGTGCCTTGTTTTGCGAGCATTCTGAGAAACCAAAACCTACTGACACTGGTGTTGCCAAAACCATATTTGAACGGTTTATTTTAATCTGTACACGGGTAACCTAGTTTCAATTTGATTGCGGTGTAATAAACCACAACTACCGACTGCAAAACAAGATTTACTGGCGAAAATGCAGCGTATGAATGTACATTAACACGCGGCGCGAACAGCGCGCGCGTCACGCGCAGCCGTTATAAATCTACGCGACACAATGAGGCTGCTCGCTGCATTGTGGATACAGAATACAGACTAGTCTGGTACTGTTAGTAATGATTGTGATACGAGAGCTAGAGACAGTTGGGATAAAGAAGATAGGGACTGAAAGAAAGATCTAATAGAAATGCAATAAGCTCTTGACGCTGAAATAATTTTAACGCCAAGACTATGATAGAGATGACTTTGATGCAATAAACATCAAGAAAATTACAATTGAAAAGACAAAGATGTGTAGTAAATTATGGTGGGAGGATTTTGTCTTGCTTCTATTACCACCACACACAATCAACAGCTACGTCATTGGCCAATCCGATAATAAATGTCTATTAGCTAACACAACGAGTAGTGTTTAGTATCAAGCCTGCAAAACGAATATACTCGTACTGTTGCAAATTTTTTGACTCTTCTTTTTATTTCCATCGTGATCCTTATCCTTCATCTTCAAGCCACATCATCCCTTCTATCTAGTGTACCTTTTTCCACATTTATTTATTTATTTATATTAAGGAAAAAAACAATTTTGATATACAGACAAATAATCACACAAAAAATATGACAGAAATCAGCAGTTTCCACAGTTAAAATTAATACAGAGTGCAGACTAAAAATTTTCTAGTCTTCTCGTCCCACTTTGATGGTGGTGAACTAGACGTCAGTATTTGACCTCAATACTCAATACTTTATTACTTCACCACATTAGCATTTAGGTCTTACAATTCAAGCAGATCAATGTGGATCCAGTTAGGGCACAGCAACCTTTGGAAGGAGGCAGAACGATCTCAGTAGTTTATATCGATTGAATTTAACCGGTTGAGTATGATCAAATACACCTAGTTAGTGATGATGAAACGTAAAAAGAGGCTACGCTTGCTCACTACTTCGGCACCCAGAATATGGGAGTGCTGTAAGACTGGCTATAAGAGTGTCAGTTAAGAACATAGCAAATCGCACTGTTCGTAATAACGGGTTGAAGCAGGTACTGAAATCATTCTACTCTACGTAGTATTGCTCACTTGTCCATATTTCACTTCGTCCAAAGAGTCCCGTCACCGCAGCACACCCATTGTCCCGGGATTTATCCCCCACTGTGGGCAACACTATGCCCTGGACGGCCGCCAACAAGCGTGTCCGCGGTGTACCGACCAGTGTGTATCGCTGTAGGTTGTTTATGGAGATTATCTTAATTTGTGGCAAGTGTACTTGCAGTTTTGAGTCAGTTGATTGATTTACAACGTGATTGCGTCTCTTGGTACAGGAATGATTGCGGTACTGTCAGAAATAATAAGTGGTCGCTGTCAAAATTCTCTCTTCTTCTTCATCGCTACACTGATGACAGAGTGATCGTGGTCGTCCTCTGGTCACAAACTCACTACTTAGAATACTAACAAAATTAAATTATTGTCATGTAAGTAGTTAAGTTTTGATTCTAATCCGTCTCCAGACTTTTCTAAGTCTTATAATGTAAAGAGTGTTGAATGTTATAGCAAGCTAGCTAGCAAGAGAGTTAACGCACACAATAAAATGTCACAATCAATAAAAAAATATGATGTCAAGGATGATGGGTATTTCCAACATATAGAAAAAAAACATTTCGCAATATTTGTGAAAACCATGATCACCATGATAGTTTCAGGAATTACTCTACAATACATATCAGGTGCCTCCTTTTCCATAAAAAAATGTAACCACGAAATGTTTGCTCATGGCACAACTAATAAGTTTTTAAAGCAAAATACCGTAATTTAACCGTTAATCTACCAACTGTAAATACTAATCAGTACGTTGACACCACCAAAGATTTGTAAAGTATTATAGAGAGATTAGTCTAACTAAAACAATTCCCTATACGAAATACATACCTACTAAGTTTAAATACATTAACAGTACTTTTGACGCTACTTTATAACAAAATTTAATTTACACATTGTTATCTTTGTGTCTACGCTGTACCCAAATAAAGGTATGATAAATAATTAAATTCATTCCAAACCACTCCAGGGAGTTTTAATAAAAAATCACTACCCCTACAATGAAAGCAGACTGGTTAACCATACAAAGGCCCACTACAAACAACAGTCAATACATAGCATCATTTCCAAGCAGATGTCTCATACATTACAAAACTCACCGTCCCTTGCTGTTACGAATAAAACTTTATTTCCATCTCGCTCGCTTTTAATCATATTCAAAATGGCCAGTATTCTTTTACAAATGAAAAGTGTATTGCATAAATAAAATGGCGTATTATTTTAATGATTTTTATTTTTTTGTGGCGAGGGCGTAGCTTTTGTGCCTCCTGACATTGTAAGGAGGTACATTTTTTCTTCCCTTTGTGGCTTTTTCGACACAAAGAATGGCATTGATCGTTGTGTTCTTTGAATTGGTTCGTAAACTCAGTGTCTTCTGTAATCGTTCCGATCGGTTTTTATGAGCATTATTTGTTCCGTATTTCACTCAATTGATTTTATTATGATATCTTTAGTTCTAATGGGTTTATTTTACGTTCATATTGGAGGAAAAAAAATTCGCAAAATCAAGGAGTGCGAGCAAAATTTCGTTGTGTTCCGTTCCATTTCTACAAGTTGGGTTCCGCCCATTAAAATTAGTGCACCGTATTGCATATTAACGATTGAACAGTAATCGAATCCCCCCCCTCACCCCTCGAAACAATAGCCACCCATTAAATTCGCACACGTCACTGCGGCCGCTCGTTAATTTGCGCTGCGCGACTGTACCGTGTTGCGACCATTTTTAATTGTTCTTTTTGTGTATAATGGCGTTGTTTGTAAGTGTACTTTGGTCCGCTTGAGGAATAATGTTTTCAAATATTAAAATGCGGAGTTAAAATGTGAAAGCTTTACGTTAAAAGCTTCAAAAAGCGGCTATAAAACAAACACGTTTAGTAAAAACAAATGATAGTAGTTACTAGTTATGGACTAAATAAATATCATGTATCGCGCAATATTTCATCCTTTTTCAGTCAGTTATGTGTAGTGGGGAATAGAGAGTATCAATTTTTCTATAAAATCTCTGCTACGAATAATGACTACGAATGCTACGAACTTAGTGATACGAGTATAAGGGCCGGCTGATTATCGTTAACTTTTAACTAAAGAATACTCCTTTAATCATTCAATATTGGTGCATTCTAGTTTCAAGTCATTGTGACAATGACCACTATTCGTTACATTTGCATTACAGTATATTTTAATTAAATAATTATGTATTTAGTTTATACTTTTCCCAACAAATCACTAACCGCCTCTTTCTCTTTGTCAACAGTTCAAAAGCGCGCGCGAATCACTGAGGTCTGCTCCAGCCCCTCCCCCCCTGCCGAACAGCCCCCGGACTCCAAGACCCCCGCCCCCGCCTCCCCTCTCGCAACCTCACCCCCTCGCTCGCCCTCCGACCACGAGCTCAACGTCGAAGAAGAACTCGAGGACCACTCCGAAACATCCCTCACTCCCGAAAACCTCTCCATGAAAGAACAAAGACCAGAAGAGTTAGCTGTAAAGAAGGAAGACGAAGAGAAATGGGAGAACTCAAACCAAGACTTCAAGTACAAAATGTTCCGACGCAAGCCCGAGTCGTTGCCTGAACCGGCGCAGGAGGAGACCCCGTACCAAAAGTCGCCAGTCGACGTCCTCATCAAGGTCTTTCCTAGACGCAGCCGGCAGGAGATCGAAGCGATGCTCGCTAGATGCAAAGGTGACGTGGTAGCGGCCATGGACATGATGTTAAACGGCACCGCTGAAAGCAACAGCACTCCTTACAACATCGCTCAGGAATCGCCCCCGTATTTACAGAACTACCAATCGAAATCTGCATTCTCTCCTCTCTCAAACCAGAGTTTTAAATTCTCTCCGTCGAGGAGGTTTCTGACTCCTCCTTACAGTGGCACAGGGTACCTCCCGACGGTGATCAGGCCTCCGCCCGAGTACCTCTCGTCTTTCATGCCCCCTTCAGAGCTGATGTACGGGCGTCAACTCCAAGTCCCATCTCCCGGGACTTCCCCTACTTCAGACAATACTAACAACGAAGGTTTTTCTGATTAGGGGTACCCGAAATACTGGACGGTGCTGTAACCGGCCTTTGCGACGTATACGACTCATAAAGCTAAATATTCTACAACGGTTGTAGTACGAGTACAACCGAGTGTAGAGTAGCAAGTTAGTTCATAGATGATTGTAAATACAGTTTTATTCTTAAAAGCATAAATTCATATTGTTTAATATTCTGATAGAAATATAAAATCAAAATATTATATTAGTGGTAACTTTCTTTTCTAGAATAAGTTATTGAAATGAGATTTTTCGAAGAAGCAATTATATTGTATTGTAAATTATTTAATTAATTCATAGGTCAGAGATAGAACACCTTGTCTTTTATGTATTTGAGGCTTACATTGTATAATTTCCAAACATGAATTTAAATATTAACTCTACATTTTTATTCAAAAACATAAGTGTTTAAAATTCTCTAAATATTGTAATTTGAGTGTAGCGTTACAAAACATTCCATTTCTAAAGTTCTAAGTATAATCCCACCAAAAACATTCTGTAAAAAACTAGCCAAGTCTCGGTGGAGCTGCTTGTTTATCTCTAAAAAGTAATGAAATCTAGACAAAGTCGTGCCAAGTCTATGGTTCCTTACTGCGATTTCTTTATTATGATAGTTAATGTTGTGTGACTTGGCCGTTGAAGGGTACAAAACGAGGTGCTCCATGACACAATTGCACCAATCGGTCGCTAGAACCGCTACCTACCGCGCCACTTGGAAAACGTTGATTCAACAATAACCAGTCAATTGTAGGTTTAATAAAGCTGCGTATTTCAATAATACTTATGTAATTATCTTAATAAAGATTGTTCAACGGCCAAGTCACACAACATTAACTATAATAATAAAGAAATCGCAGTAAGGAACCATAGACTTGGCACGACTTTGTCTAGATTTCATTACTTTTTAGAGATAAACAAGCAGCTCCATCGAGACTTGGCTAGTTTTTTACAGAATGTTTTTGGTGGGATTTCACTTCTTTTTGTAGAAAGTGGCAAAATTATTTAACGTCGTCGTTTTATCGACATTTTTTTACGATATTAAACACAAATAAACTCAACGACCTTTAAAATGGACAACGAATCAGATTGTTTTTAATTATAACATAACCTAAGCGAACCTTACAGTATAATAAACGAAATCAACGAAATGCAAATTACACAACATTCAACTTAATCGACGACTTTCTCTAGAAAGGAAAAAAATCTGGACACCGCTTGCTAGTGCTAGCGCCATCTAGCGGTGAGCGATACAGGCGAACACCACGGTGCCGGAGTAGTATTGATTATGAATGTGGTGTTACTCCAGATCTTCGATTTTCCTAGTTTTTATAGTTTTCCCTTTATGTGGCCATTAAACCCTAACTCTGTACCAAATTTCAGCTCTCTGAGTTTACAGGAAGTACTAGTTCTATTTTGATGATTATCAGTGAGTGAGTGTCGTAAATACGAAACTTTGCTTTCGCTTAACTTCAGAACTAAATGACCTACAGGCTTGAAATTTTGGATTTGAAGTATGTGATTATAGCTTACTAGATGACGAAAATTTCTGCGTTGTGGTCTTATCCAGAGGTTCTCAAATAGGGGCCTGAAAATGCGGCGAAATGGTTCCAGTAAAGGATGGTACGGCAGTGTTTGCTTCGCGCTCGACTTGGCGGGGGCACTGCCGTGCCCCCAGATATAATATAAGTCATTTATGTACAGTCACGGAATGAAAAGGTTCGTCAGTTTTCAAATTGATTCCTTCAACGAATCGCGAGCACATATTACCTTTTGAAACTATGTTACAGAATAATCTCGAGTTAAAGAAAATAAATCTTTAACTGTTCGTCAGTAAAGTTCAAAATTATTCAGATTAAAGTTGTTTGACGATTTATCTTGTCAAGAAGATTATTATGATTGATAAACTAAAACCTTCTTGTTGGTTCAACCTGCCATTATTATTTCTATTAAATAAAAAAAAACTACATTTTGTAACATTGCACTAATGGGATAAAACCTTATTCGTTAGCAAACGTCATATTTATTTTCAAATTCAAATTCTTTATTGCTCCAATTTAAATGTTAGCAGCACTGTTTCTTGCACTGTCATGTTGGCAGGTTTGACTCTTCTTACAGTACCTAGTGCAAGCGAAAACCGACACTAAGGTGACGAACCTTTTCATTCCGCGACTGTACATACATCGTGCTTAGAAATAGAAAGCAAAAAAATCAACAGATTTGTTATGAAAATTAAAATATCAACTTTGATGTTTTCTAAACTATTATGTAATCTAAATACTCGGCATTTCTGTAAATAATGTAGGCAGTTTAGTAAGTTAGTAAGCTTTAATACATTATTATGAAACACATGTATACGTAACTACTAATTATAATTATTAGGAGTAGAGTTTTAAATCTCATTATGATAAAATACATGTTAAAAATTAAGAACATCATTTCTTCTTTCCCAAAATTATTTTATTGTAACTTACTACTATAATATGAAATAAATGGATTTTGGCTTATATGTATAACAAAATATGTATATATTTTCGTAAAAATGCAGTCTAAATATTAAAAAAATAATAACATTTTTTAATTTTTAGTGTCGGTCTTTAGAATACAAGATACATACTGCTTTCAATTCTCAGTAATGTTAAATGTATTTTAGTAACTTTTAATACTCGTTAAGTGTACGTCATAGTGTTCAGTAAATTATAACTTTTAAACTGTAAATAAATATAGCTATAGTTTATAAATAAATTATAGAAGCGATGTATAACCGTCGATCTAAGAGATAGTGGATAGTGTGTAAAATAATATGTATAATATACGTGCTCAATAAATGAAATTATTCAATTTTCTGTTTCCTTTACACCCCTATTTATCGATTTATGTTATAAACATCAACATTTTAGGCAAAATCAACCTGCTCTACCACTACTTCGGAACAAAATACATAATTATCGAAAGCTCTGAAAAAAATGCTTATTATGAGAAAGTAAAAAAGAATCATTAGAAAATCTATACTATCTATACTAATATTATAAATGCGAAAGTAACTCTGTCTGTCTGTCTGTCTTGCTTTCACGCCTAAACCTTTGAACCGATTTTGTTGAAATTTGGCATAGAGATAGTTTGAGTCCCGGGAATGGACATAGGATTGTTTTTATCCCGGTTTTTGAAACAGGGACGCGCGCGATACAGTTTTTCTGTGACAGACAAAATTCTAAGAAAGCTGGTTATAAATAACTTGAACAATTCCCGCCTTAGGAATTTTGATTTTTTCAAGTTATTTATAATTTTCAAATTAGATTGAGATGCAACTCTTAACGCTAAAAATAATAAGAACAAGACTATTAAAAAGCAAATTGATTTTATAATGTTAAAAAAGCATTATTACACCTCGTAGTAGAAGTTATACGAGTAATAATTTTAATACTACTTTTGCTACGGGACAGTAATGTGTGTCAGTGCTGAAAAGAAGCAGCTCAAGAAATTCTTTTACTTTTTCAAATGTCTGCAAGTATGCACCTAATACTTATGTCTATGATAGTTAGGCAGTAAACAAGTCCCGATTTCATAGAGCCAGATAAACGTTCGTCTTAATTACGAATCTCCGCACTAAACAGCCAATCAGATCCCAACTAGCCGTCATCTCGACGTCGAGCCGTCATTGTGCACCACAATGACGTCACTCGGCCGTCAGCGGGACAGTGGGCAGACAGGGACAGTCGCCCGCAGTGACGTCACGCTTTGTCTCCCAAATTGGATGTGGCCAAGCTGATGCAAGAAACGATGATTTTGGGGAAGGAGCCATGATGACTGGATGTGGCTTATTTGAAATGATGATTTTGGACTAAGTAAGTACTAATTCTTCGATCATTTTGATCGACCGCAGACCTCAAGTAGATAGTGGAAGAGAGTGGATAGAAGGTATTTGTCCAAATGATTACAGGCTGAAAATTGCTTGGGCAGTGTTGGGCATTAGGAAATTAAATACTCCGTAGTAAAATCGGACGTTTGTTTGTAATAAAATTAATTATCAAAATCAAAAAAAAAACAAAATCAAAAATATTTATTCAGTTTAGACCACAAGTGGCACTTATGAACGTCAATAGAAAATAATAAGAAAAGAAAAGGTAGCCCTTATGGGGCACTTTACATGTCTCCTTATCTCATCGAAACAGTATTTATTTATTTATATATTGAAAAAGATACACCAACGACATATAACTTTACATATAACAATAATACAGTGTTGAGTAGGTACAATATTAAAATATATGCCTTTACAGGTGGATACATCATTTCCCATTATCGAACGTTGACTCGAGTTTAAAGTAGGACATTAACTAAAGACAAAATTAAGAAAAGAAACGATAAATATTAGGTACATAATATTAATTCCACACACTTCCTCTTAAAGCGGCGCTCCGATTCATCAAAGATATCGATGTCAGCAGTATTAATGTTGTTACAGTAAAGTTTTATCCATAAAGAAGAAGGAAATAATTTCCAATTTTAGAAAGTTAATAGTTTTCAGCATAGGCCTCCCCAAGGACACCACAACGATCCTGCGCTGCCCGTTAGTCGTTGTTTACTGGGGTCTTCGAGACAATTGAATCCACAGTAAGTATTTTGTATTTTTTTTATGCATAACAAGGCAGGTATTTGACCACAATCGCACCTGATGTTAAGTGGGATGCAGTCTAGGATGGTCCATATCTGCCCTGTACCTAAGTGCCTATTCACTCTCGCCTTGAAGAGGCCCAGATTATAGTTTTCGGGAAAGACAGCAGCAGGCAACGAATTCCAGTCCCTAGCAGTTCGCATTATAAAAGAGTTATAATTTTCGTTTGTTTCAGCCGATTGACATCCACTGCTGGACAAAGGCCTCCCCCAAGGATTTCGACATCGACCGGTCCTGCTGTGCCCGACTCCAGGCACTTCCCGCGACCTTCACCAGATCGTCATTCCACGATGTATTTATTTTAAATTTTTAGGAACTAGTGAAGTGCACAAATAAGCAGATTTGCCTCATCCACACAGGTGTAGGTTCCAGACTAGGCCCAAGTAAGATAACATCGCGGCCAGACGCAGTGTCCCTGTACAATACGCATTCAGCCTAGAGCTAGACAATACTGTCTAGTAGCAGTAATTAATGCTGGGTCGGATCTACACATTACACAGTGGCTCATGGCGGCTCTTGTGTTATGTTCTCATGCGATGGTCAGACGTAAGTAAGTAGGTATCGTTAATACTAATAACTCAGTGCATGTAGTTTACGAATATTGGTACGTAATTTTCTTAGTTTTTCATTTCTTTAACCTGATCATTACAAAACTAAAAT